AGTCAGCAGCCAGGGCAGCAAGGCCTAGTCCCACGGTGCCCCCTCCTTTCGCCAGCGCCAGCCCCACGTCCCCCTGCCTCCACCTTGCCCCATGTGGGCAGCATGTGCCAGAGGCCCCAGGGGGATCCCCTGACCTCGGACGTGGGGACAAGCACCAGCAGCCTGGAGCCGGGGCAGGCCAGGGCGAGGGGGGCAGGGCAGGAAGGGCCCTCCAGCGAGCTGCACAGACCCCAGGGTGGCCCAAGGCAGCTTCAGCAACAGCCTTGCTCTGGGGAAATAAGGCCAGCTGCCTGGTGGGGCGCCCCCAGCGCTGCCCTGGGCTTTGCCTGGGACAGGGACATCCCAGCCCCCCAGCCGGGCAGGGGGCTGCCCCCTCGCACTCCCTGCTGAGCTCTGTCCACACGGGGTCAGACCCAGGGTCCATGCAGCGGCCAGTGCCGGGCGCCCCAGTGCCCCTCCCCCCGGGATCCCCCCGGCTGCCCATTCCCAGCCCTGGCTCCCAGAGGTCGTGTTGCCTTCCCCGGCGACAGGAGGCAGCCAGGGCGCACCAGGGACACGGCCCCTCAGCCTGGGTGCTGCAGGAGTGGGAGCTGGGGGGCGACAAGAAGCAGGGAAACCTCCTCGTGGCCCTGCCCAATTCATGCCCACGGGGCGTTTCCCACAGCCCGGGCTGGTCCCGCCCAGCAGGAGCGGCCCCGGCTGGGAGATAAAAGCGCAGGGGCCCGGCTGCTGGGAAGAGACGCCGAAGATGGCAGGTGAGATGCGCAGGGTTCCGGCTGCTGGGCGTGAGCAGAGCGGCGGGCGGGGAGCTGCGGGTGGGAAGTGCAGTGGAGGCCCCAGGTCTGGTGCTTTGCACCACGTGGGTAGCAGCCTCTGCGGCGTGGCCCCTGCACTGGGGCCGGGCACCGATTCTGCTGTGTGCCCGCCAGGCTGTGTGGTCCAGCGCCCGCCCGCCCGGCCAGCCAGCTGGGCTCTGGGCCGGGGAGCTGCCGGTGCCTTGCTGGGGATGGGGAAAGGGAAGCAGCCCGAGAGCTGAGCTGCTGGGTTGTGTTTTCCTTCCTCCACTGCGGTGCGAGGGGCTGCCAAGCCCTGCCCCCCCCCCAGGGCCTGCCCTCTGGGGGGCTGGAATTGTCTGCCCAGCTGGAGCACCCCGGGTAAGCCTGGGTGGGAAAGGACGGTTCCACCTTTGGGATTGTTTCCTGGCGTGACCTGGGACAAAAATCAGAAGCCTGAAAAGTTTGAAAAACCAAACTTAAGGAAAAGATTGGAGCTGGGCCAGAGCCATTTTATTTCTCTGATTTTGAAACATTTGTCTCCGTTTGGCGCTTTCCTTTTAGCAAAACTTGTGAGTGTAAATTTTAAAATGAAAAATAATTTTGATTCAAACCCCTGAAACATTCCTGTGAGGGGCTGAATCACAGACATCCCCTTAGGCCTGCAGGTCATGGCATGGACACCCATCCGCCTGCTCTGCTGGGCCAGATCCTCTGGTCTCCCCCAGGCATGGCACAGAGCTGGGGTGACTGCCCCCCTTCAGAGAGACACAGACACTGAACCGGCTCAGCATCCAGGAAACCGATCCCCAAAGGTTGTTACGGGGGGTAGTGGGATGGGACACTTCAGAAATCCAAGATAAGCTTGAAATACTCAGAGGCCTTGGGTCCTTTGCCTTTGGTCCTGCTTCCAGAGCTCGGTGCTGCAATCCTGTCCTGTTTCCAAGCTTTTCTCGGCATGAATCAGAGTAGAAATTCAGTAGAAACCCTTCCTCCCTCGCACGCTGGGCCCTGACACCGGCACGGTCCATTTGGCTCTATTTCAGTCTTAGGAAGTTAAACATAAAGTCCATTAATTCAGCTATTTAAAGCTGACACTTTGCAGGGCTGGATTTGTAGGGACCCTGGCCCACAGAGGCATTTGGGGATCAGGAGGTTTCTGTAGGAGGTTGTGCCCCTGTCTTCTGCGAGGCTGCGGGGAGAACACTGCGCAGAGCTGGGCAGCAGCTTGCGAGCGCCAATGCCAGCAGCAGCAGCAGCAGCGAGGGTGGCCTGGGGCGATGTTGCCACCTTTGTTTCTGCGCTTTCTGCAGAGCAGGGCCCTTGGTCGGCATCTGCCCCTCCCGGGCCACCCAGCCTAAATTCCCTGGGACCCTGCTATTGCATTTCCTTTCTGGTATGCTTGTAGGATGCTGTGGTCTCAGAGGCTTAGCCAAACAGCCAAATGGCTAAGCAACAATCCTTTCACCTCAACCCAACTCTGACTGAAGCTATTCCAAATCCCCCCTCCTTCCTTGGTGACGCAATGTCATTTTCTTAAATGACCCTATTAAAATTTCCAGGATGGCTTTCAATAGTCATCAGGAGATAGATGGAGATGCCAGGCCAGTCCTGGAGGGTTGGCACCTTAAAAGTCCATTTGCTGGCATTGTGCAGTTGTGCTTTTTTATAGGCTAGTCAGACGACTTGGGGTGGAAGCACAGTCTTGTAGATACAGCCCAGAAGTGGCAGGAAGAGGATCTCTGTTCTCCCGGTTCAGTCACTGGGTTGCCGTGTGAGGCTGTGTAATAAATCTGTCAGTCTGTTGGCTCCTGTCAGAATGTAAAGTGGGGTGGAAATTCACCTTCTCGGGCTGTGGGGAGGGCTAGCGTCTCACTGTGCCTAAAGCTTGTGTTGACTGCCAGATTATTGGGATGGTGGAATCTCCATCCCTAGAGGTTTTTAAGTCTCGGTTTGACAAAGCCCTGGCTGGGATGATTGAATTGGATTGGTCCTGCTGTGGGCAGGGGCTGGACTAGCTGGGACCCTAGGATCTCTCTGGTCCCCAGCCACCTCCACAATCTGGGAGGTACAAAGGGCTGCTTCATGAACTCTGATTCCCACACCCATGGGAGTCTGGCACTAGCTAGTAGCCAGTAGCCCCTGTGAAGTGGAGTGGGCGTCTGTTGACGAGGGGGGGGGCCCAGGCCCTGCACCCCCATCCATAGCCAGAGGGACTCCCCGCTGGCAGGGATTCGTCAGCAGGGACACAGCGCAGCACAGACTTGTCAGCGCAGGAACCAGGAGCAGCAGCGCCAGCCATCCTGGGGGAAAAGGGCCCAGAGGCAGGGCCCTGTACCCTAAGTCAGCCAAACTAACTCACCCACGTGACAGCCTGTTCCAGTCCTGCAGCCAGCCCGGGCTCCGGCCTTTGTCCAGCTTCCTGGGCAAGTCTCTGGACGGCGGGGGCATCGTCTGGAGAAATGGTCTGAGCTAAACAGGACGAAGTTTAATAAGGACACGTGCGAAGTGCTCCACTCTGGAAGGAACAATCCGTTCCCCACACACAGACTGGGAAGCGACTGTCTAGGCAGGAGTCCTGCAGTAAGGGATCGAAAGGTCAGAGGGGACCACAAGCTGAATATGAGGCAGCAGTGTGACGCTGTTTCAAAAAAAAGCAAACCTGATTCTGGGAGGCATGAACAGGCATGTTGTGAGCAAGACACGAGGAGTCATTCTCCCGCTCTGCTCTGCGCTGGTTAGGCCTCAGTTGGAGTATTGTGTCCAGTTCTGGGCACCGCATTTCAAGAAAGATGTGGAGAAATTGGCGAAGGTCCAGAGAAGAGCAACAAAAAATGATGAAAGGTCCAGAGAACATGAGCTAGGAGGGAAGTCTAAGAAAATTGGGCTTGTTGAATTTAGAAAAGAGAGAAGACTGAGAGGGGATATGATAGGGGTTTTCAAGTACTGGAAAGGGTGTCACAGGGAGGAGGGAGAAAATTTGTTCTCCTTGACCTCTGAGGATAGGAAAAGAAGCAATGGGCTTAAACTGCAGAGGGCGAGGTTTGGGTTGGATATTAGGAAAAACTTCCTGCGCATCAGGGTGGTCAAACACTGGAATAAATTGCCTAGGGGGTTGTGGAATCCCCATCTCTGGAGATATTTGAGAGCAGGTTCGACAGACACTGTCAGGGATGACCTAGATGGTGCTTGGTCCTGCCATGAGGGCAGGGGACTGGACTTGACGACCTCTCGAGGCCTAGTTTCTATACATTCAGAACCTAGGGTTGCCAGGTGTCCGGTTTTGAACTGGACAGTCCAGTATTTGAGCTTTCTGTCCGGGAAACAAACTGAGACAATATCAATGAGAAAGTAGAAATGTCCGGTATTTTCTAAACCAGGTGGAATGTGTCTTGTGATGTCATGGCAAGCGCCTCCGTTTTTTTTGTTGAAACCATCTGGCAGCCCTAGGCGCGCCCCAGAACGCAGTGCACATGCCCTAACGCACCTCCAGAGTGCGATACAACCTGACACCAACAAGCGGACGGACCGTCTCCTCTCTGTTCAGGCCAAGGTGCTCACGGGCTGTGCTTGCCCCGGTGGCGTTATGCCAGTGTAACTGTGGCCGTCAGCAGGGCGCTAGGCGTGGGCAGCGGGTGCACTGCTGCCGTGGAAGTTACCCTCCCTTCGTGGGGCTGCGTGCGCCGTTAGTCAAAGGCTCGAGGCTCTGGGCTGGAGCTGAGCCAGGCCGGGGGGGGGGCAGCTGAGCTCTTTGGTGGGGGGCGAAACCCGGCGTGCTAATGAGCGGGGGGTTTGTGTCTCTCCAGGGACGAAGCCTGCCATCGCGCTCTGTGGGTTCCTGCTGGCCCTGAGCCTGTGCCACGCCGCCAGCCCGGACGCGCACGGTACCGCCCCATCGCCGCCATCGCCGCCAGGGCCATTCTGCTCTAAGGGTTTCTATTGCGGGAGGGGCAGAGTGCAGCCACGCCAGCCCCAGGTGTTACGTGTGTCCCCAGCAGCGGCGCTAAGGCAACAGCTGGCTCCAGAAAGCCAAGCGAGCGCCGGAGCCAGATGCCCTCTCCCTGCACGGCTCGGGCGGGGGGCGGGCGGGGGGCCACTCATTTTTTGCCTGGGGCCACTTCAGATATTTGCAGTGGCCCCGGGCCACATTGGAAGGGGCGGGGCTTCAGGCAGAAGGGGCGGGGCCAGGGCACCTCCCTGCTTCCCCACCCAGAAACCCTGAGTGGTCTGGGGGCGGGGGAGCTTCCCTCTAGGCGCCCATGCCCCTGGGGCGGGAGGAGACGTCGCACACTCCCCCTTCTGGCCCCAGGCCAATCGGGGCTTGGGGGGCGCGCGACGTCTCCTCCGGCCCCACCAGGATGCGTGGTGCTCGCGCTGTGAGCTCCTTGCAGCGCGGGGGCAGGGTGCACGCTCCTGATTGGGGGCGGGGGAGCAGCGGGATCCGCTTGCTGGGCTGGATCCGGCCCGCGGAGGCCCTTTTGCCCACCCCTGCTGCAGAGGGGGGCGCGATTCCGGCAGCTCCCGTCCAGCACCGGAGAGCCCCTGCCAGAGGAGGTGTGGCTGCTGCTATTTGTATTTGCTCAGCGCTCGGAGAGCACAGGCAGAGACCAGATCCCGGCGGTGAGGGCAAAACTCCGTCTTACCCAGGGAGCCAGACACTTGCCGACAGCTCTCCTGATCCCTCGCTGCCCCCTCGGGGCAGGCATGTGGAGCCGTATGGGACGGAACTTTTGCCCCCCTGCCAGCCACCCGCAGCCCCTCCAAGCCGGCTGCCTCTCGGTGTCCAAGCTGGGAAGTAGGGGGCAGGGTTCGGGGGCTGCGGCAGCCGGAGGAGCTGCTGGAGTTCTGCTCCTTCTTGCTTCCCCTGCCAAAGTTCAAAGTTCAGAGCACGGGCCCGTCATTTAGGGCAGAGCTTGGTGCAATAAGATCAATGCGGATGAGATGATAGTGCAAAGGGAAGCGCACCGGTGCATTTCCAAGCTCTGTGGGTATGGAACAGCTGGAAGGGTGGGTGCCCGGGTGCCCTAGGGAGGGGTGGAAGTCCCGGCTTGACACAGCCCTTGCCCGGAGGATGGAGCTGGGGGCCCTGAGGGCCCTGCCCGCCCGGGGGTTCTGTGAGTCTCCGGTAGAGGAGAGAGCCAGAGGGCAGATTCACCGCAACGGGCAGGGACTTGTTCCCAGGTGTACAGTGAACCTGCCTCGTGCAGTGAACTCGTGGGCGGGGGCCGGCCCCACGTCCTGCCCCTGCTTCTCTTTGGACCAGATGTCTCAGGGATGCTGTCTGTCCCCTCCATTCTGAGCAGCGTCGAGGAAGCCAGGCGGCTGGTGGACACAGCCTACAAGTACACCCGGGACCGGTGAGTGCCAGTGTGCAGGGGGAGACTCGTACCCGTCTGCCTGGGGACTAGCGTCCTGCTCCCTGCAGTGGCTCCTGATCTCAGCGTCACTATTTGCAGCACAAAGGGCGACTCACCCTGAGCACAGATGCCGAAATGTGGCCCAGGGTGGTTCTCCGTGCGCAGTGTGCCCCAGTCTGGTATCCGACCCCCGGCCACGCCTCTTCTGCAGGCCTGGCCCTGCTCCGTGCTTGGTGGCACGGCCCAGCAAGGGGGGTCATGGCAGTGCCATTGAGGAGTCCCTAATGGAAAGTGACAAGGAAACGGGATGGAGGCTAGAGACCGTTCCGTGGGCTGACCTGCCCGTGGGCCTCAGGGCTGGAGATTCCACCCTGACAAAATTGTTATGGGACAGCTGGCAGCTCCGCCGTCGCTCAGCTCGGGCCCAGGGTTTCACCCCAGAATACAGCACGACTTCCCCAAGTCCAACGCTGAATCTGCTTTGTACGAACCCGCCCCACAACCACAGCACTTAGGCTGTGTCTAGACTGCACCCCTTTCTGTAAAAGGGATGCAAATTAGACATATCGCACTTGCAAATGAAGCGGGGATTTAAATCCCCCCCCCCGCTTCATTAGCATAAAAATGGCTTATCCCTCATTTTAAGAGGGATAAGGGATCTTTCGGAAAAGGCTTTATTTTCCGAAAGATCCGCATCTAGACTGGCACTTTTTTCTGGCAAAGCTCCGAGCCGGAAAAAAGCAGCAGCAACTTTTATGCTAATGAAGCGGGGGGAGATTTAAATCCCTGCTTCATTTGCAATTGTGATATGTCTCATTTGCATCCCTTTTCCGGAAAAGGGGTGCAATCTAGACACAACCTTAGTCTTTCAGAATAGAAATGAGTTTTCTGGGCGTATGCAATAGAATGTCTTCATGAAACAGCAGGGCAATCAATGCAAATAGTCAACGATTATTTGCTCCAATCTGATCTCCTGAATGGAGTAATGAAGACGCCTCAGACTTTCCAGATCAACCTCACTGAATTTGCATCCGTTAGTCACAGGCGAAGAGTTTTTGTTTAGGATTCATGGTCATTTTTTGCCATTATCTACTATGTGTTTGAGAGAGTTTGTGTGTCAGCGCACGAGTCTGTCTGCCCGTCTGCGCATCTGTCAGTTTGCTGAAGAACTCCTCCTAACGGGTAAGAGCCCGGACACCAAATCTGGGAGGCAGCTTCCTCCTCCCATAACGGAAAGCAGGGTCAGGGCCCTGGTTGTGCCAGGACACTGGGATACACCTGGAATGGGATTGCTCCTCACAGACCCCCCAGAAAAGAGACAGAATCACCAGGCAGGTGAACCCAACTGGCTAGGCTGCTCCCCACCCCCATCTGGGACTGCCTCAGCCCTGAGCTCCCCCTCCCCCAGTACCCTTTAGGGAGGGAGGGAGGGAAGGGTTTGCTGCTCCCTCCCCATTGGTACTGGGGCATCAAACCACACCAAGAAGAGGCGGAGTCACCGGGCACCCTGGCTTCTGAGCCCTGCCCCGCCAGCGGCTGCTGCACTGCGGGGTGAGCTGCTGTGGACAGAGGGCAGAGGGGCCTCCATGCAGCGAGCTGGGTTGTTGCTGCTCCATGTCGCCAGGAGGAATATTTTCATTCCAGTTTAAAGGAGAAGCTGAGGAACGGAGCATTCAGCCCTGCGGATATCCTGGGATACATCAAGCAGCCAGCGACTACATGGACACCACCCTGGCCGTGCTGAAGAAGAAGCTGCAGCAGACTGTGAAGGGGAAGTTTAATGTCACAGGTAATGGGGCCGATGTCGGATCCGCTCCCCCGGGAGCCCCTTCTCCGCCCGGCGCCGTGGGCTCCGGTATCTCCCATGGGCTGCCGGGCTGGGCTCTCCACTCACCGCCCCGGAACGCCAGGCCAGGAGGGGTTGCAAGGCAGAGGCACTTGCTGTCTGGTGGTGCACGTCTCCTCGCTTGGCCAGCCCCCGGGACACAGACCGTGGGGCTAAGGACCCCAAGGGGCCATAGGGCAGGACCTCTGCCAAGAGCTCAGCCCGCTTGGCTCCTTGCTGGGAAGGGGGAAAGCTGAGTTTCCCACCCGGTCCCAGGCTGCCTTCTGGGATGTGGCTCACCTTGAACCACTGCTCAGCTGTGGGATGGGAGGGGAAGGGAAGGGGACCCTTCACTAGCATCCCCCTCCTCTTCCGCCGGGGGGTGGCTCGAAGGCCTGGCGCAATCTGTGGGAACGTGCCCGGCGGCTTCCGTCTGTTTCACTGCGCGTCCAGCCGGAGACTCCGAGCAAAGCCAGCTGTGGCCTTGCCCCTGGTGCATTTCCCGGGGAAGGCTGCAGTGGTCTGGGGGATGATTTGACAGACGTGGCCTCCAAATACTCTTTGCTCGCCCCGTTTTGGGGCCCCCGTTCCAGCACGCGGAGCTGCTGCACCTCCTTGGCTTTCTCTTGCAGATGTGCTGAGCCTAGACCAGCTGGAGTTGATTTCCAAGGCTACTGGCTGTGCCCAGCAAAATATGCAAATTCCATGTGACGACACATACCCTTACCGAACCATCACGGGCGAATGCAACAACAGGTGATGCTCGCTGCCCAGGAGAGGGTGGCAGGTCCTCCCTGCACCAGAATAGTTTCCCATCTGTGTGCTCCCATGTGATCCCAGCTACCCCGCGAAAATGAAGGGGTCTAAATTTGCTTATTTTCCCTGCCGTTGCCTACTCAGTAGGTGTTTTCGGAGAACTACAGTGACTCCAAGCTCTCTCCCTTGAGCGGGAACAGCTAACAGAATGGGGGGAATCGTTAAGAAAGGGACAGCGAACAAGACAGAAAGCATCACATGGCCTCTGTAGAAATCCAGCTTGAATACTGCATGCAAATCTGGTCACCCTGTCTCCTAAAAAGATACAGTAGAATTGGGAAAGTTTCAGAAAAGGGCCATAAAAATGATTACAGGCATGGAACAGCTTCCCCATGAGACAAGATTAAAAAGACTGGGACTTTTCAGCTTGGAAAAGAGTGCGGGGCATGACAGAGGTCTGTAAAATCATGGCTGAGGGTGTGGAGAGAGTCGATAAGGAAATGTAATTTGCCCCTTGTCATAACACAAGACCTAGGGGTCACCGAATGAAACGAATAGGCAGCAGGTTGAAACAAACAAAAGGGCTGTGTCTACACTCGCGGCTTCTGGCGCGAGAAATATGCAAATGAGCTAAGTGTGGACTATCGCCAAGCCTCATTTGCATACCTAATGAGCCTCCATTTTTGCAGAAGAGGCTCTTGCACCAGAAGGAGCTGTCTGCACGGCCCCTTCTTGCGCAAGAAAACCCCTCTTGTGCGATGCCGTTCTTTCTGAAAATAATCGGTGTAATGGCATTGCACGAGAGGGGTTTTCTTGCGCAAGAAGGGGCAGTGTAGACAGCTCCTTCTGGCGCAAGAGCCTCTTCTGCAAAAATGGAGGCTCATTAGGTATGCAAATGAGGCTTGGCGATAGTCCACACTTAGCCTCATTTGCATATTTCTCGTGCAAGAAGCCGCAAATGTAGACATAGCCAAGGAGTATTTCTTTGCACAGTCAACCTGCGGAACCCCTTGCCTGAGGACATTGTGAAAGCCAAGACTTTAACAGGGTTCCAAAAAGAGCTAGATAAATCCATGGAGGACAGGTCTTTCCATGGCTACTAGCCAGGGCGGGCAGGGAGGGGGTCCCTAGTCTCTGCTTATCAGAGTCCAAGAATGGGCGACAGGGGAGGGGTCACTTGATCATTCCCTGTTCTGTTCTCTCCCTCTGGGGCACCTGGCATCGGCTGCTGTCAGAAGACAGGCCACTGGGCTAGAGGGACTTTGCTTTGATCCAGTCTGGCCGTTCTTATGCTCTTCTTTTCCTAAATCACTAGCCAGCCAGTCTCGGAGCAATCCCAGGGGCACACCGGTGACAATCCCTGCCAGGAGTGGGGGGCCTGGCCAGGCATTCAGAGCCTGCCCCCAATCTAGAGACTCTAGAAAATCTCTGGAGGGAAAGTCCAGCCAAGACAAAGCAGAGGTTGGATTTCAGCTCATATTCTACCCAGCGGTCACCAGCCAGTCGATCGGGATCTACCAGTCGATCTCAGAGCCCCTGACGGGATCCTGGCTGGTCTGGCTTATTAGATATATAGTCTGATGGTTTGAAAGGCTAGTGTTTGAAGGATCACCAGTGGTAAGTGGATTAAAAATGCTAACATCATCATCTTGGACAGATCTGCAGACCTAAAATAATTTCATTTTGATGTGGTGTCACTGAAAATGGCAATGTCGTGTGAAAAAATGTTGTTAAATGGATATTGTCAAGGTATTGAAACCCCAAAAAACAATGTGAAAAAATAAGGGGGCTTAGTTACTGATTTTTGACTCTGAAAGAATATCTGTACCTCACTGGAACAGTGGCATCCTTACTGAAGACTCGAATTTCTCAGTTCGCTATTAAGATTTTGCACAAAAGCGGCCTCTTTGCACCAAAATCTTACCACGTGTCTACACTGGCCACGAGTTCTTGTGCAAGAACACTGATGTTCTAATGTATGAAATCAGTGCTTCTCACGCAGATACTCTGATGCTCCTGCTCAGGAATAAGCCCTCTTGTGCAACTGTTCTTGCGCAAGAGGCCAGTGTAGGCAGGCAACATCAATTTCTTGCGCAAGAAAGCCCGATGTTTAAAATGGCCATCGGAGCTTTCTTGTGTAAGAGAGCGTCTACACTGGCATGGATGCTCTTGCGCGCGGAAATACTTTTAACGGAAAAACTTTTCTGTTAAAAGTATTTCTGCAAAATCCTGCCCGTCTAGACGCAGCCCAGGTGTGTCTGTCATTCTCACGCACGCACACACACACACACACACACACACACACACAGTCCTTCCCCCTCCTCTCCTGACACAACACGGGGCTGGAGGGGGAGGTGTTGTTGCTACTTTTACGGCTTGTGGGTTAGTTTTAGTGTTGGGCTGGTCTGGGCATTTCATGGTTTCATTCTCCCTCACGCTTCCATGTAATTCTCTGAGCAGTGAGTTCTAAACCGCCCAGCCTGGCGTGGCTGGAGCCATTCTCCCCGTGGGAACTGCTGCTCCTGGAGGTGGCTGGCATGTCCCTGCGGCCCCCGAGAGAGGCAGAGCAGGGGGTCTCCACATGCCGCCCTTGCCTGCAGACACCGCTCCTGCAGCTCCCCTGGATCAGCCAGTAGAAGCTGAGGGCTCAGTACCTGTAGGTAAGGGGCAGCCCATGGAGCCATTGCCGTCCATGCCAAATGCTTTCAGGAGTGGGCCAGGGCCAGGGCAGGAGTGAGCCACCTTAACCCCTTTGCTCCACCAGCTGGAAGCCATCTCAGTTAAACGGTGCCCAGCCAGAGCCTAATTCCTGAACCCTTGTCCCAGCCCTGAACCTCCTCCTGCACCCAACCTCCTGCCCCAGACATGAGTTCCCCTGCACCCCAACTCCTTCCCAGAGCTTGCCCCCTGAAACTCCTCCTGGACCCCTATTCCCGAAGCCCCTCCCACACTCCAAACCCCTTGGCCCAAGACTAGAGCCTGCACCCCAACCCGCTACCCAGCCTGGTGCAAGTGAGTGAGGTTTGGGAGGAAGGGAGATGGAGTGGAGCAGGGTGAGGCCTCGGAGAGGGGTGAAGCAGGGGCAGGGCCTCAGAGAAGGGGCAGGAAGGAGAAGGGGCAAGGGGATTTGGGTTTGAGGTAGATCTTACATTGCACTTATATTTAAAAAGTGATCTTGTGGTTAAAAAGGTTGGAGAGTGCTGGCTTAAGGTATACAACTCTGGCTATGTAGAAAACATAGTGCCAGCCAGAGTACATGTGCCTGCCAGAGCTGCCCTCAGCATTTGATTTAGTGGGTCTATACTAGACCCACCAAAGCGAATGCCAGAACATTGATCTCTGGCACGGTGGGTGAAGACATACTCTCAAGGTTTCCTCGCCCCTATTTCCCTCCCTTGGTCCTAATGTCTCGCCCATCTGTTTTCTCTCTACCCATGTCTCTTTATCCAGAGCTATTCTCTTCTTCCACGCTCTGCCATTGCGTTTAGGCCTCTTTCCCAACCAGTCTCCCAATTCTTCCTCTCACCCATATTTATCAATCCTCGGGTTCCACCTCCGTCGCCCCTCAAAACTGTTCTGCCCTCATGCCCAGCTCCCTTCTAGCCCTGTCTCTGCAGTCCCAACACACCCGGTGCGGCAGCTGCTCAGGGTAAGGAGGTGGCTGGTCACTGCTGGAATTTCCTCCCCCTGTGCTCCGGGCTGGCCGGCTCACCCCTCCCAATCTAGAGACTCTAGAAAATCTCTGGAGGGAAAGTCCAGCCAAGACAAAGCAGAGGTTGGATTTCAGCTCATATTCTACCCAGCGGTCACCAGCCAGTCGATCGGGATCTACCAGTCGATCTCAGAGCCCCTGACGGGATCCTGGCTGGTCTGGCTGGGAAACTATCAAGTGCTGGCACTTCAGTTGCCCCTCCCCCACTGTCATGCTGTTCCTGCCCCTGCCTTGGAGCTGCCCCTTGGGAGCCTCCTGCTCGCTGTGCAGGGTATGGGAGGGAGAAGGGGGGGCTGATGTCAGGGTGTCCCTCCTCCCCCACTCCTGTACCCTGTCTCCACACAGGGAGGAGGGGTTGGAGGGAGCTTGGCAGTGCAAATCTCTGTCACTCTCACACGAGGGGTGTGTCTAGACTGGCAAGATTTTGCACAAAAGCGGCCTCTTTGCACAAACACTTGCCAGCTGGCTACACTGGCCGCTTGAATTTGCGCAAGAGCACTGACTTCGTAATGTACAAAATCAGTGCTTCTTGTGCAAATACTTTCACGCTCCCGTTCAGGGGTAAGCCCTCTTGTGCAAGAATACGTGTGCAAGGGGGCCAGTGTAGACAGGCACCTTCATTTTTTGTGCAAGAAAGCCCGATGGCTAAAATGGCCATGGGAGCTTTCTTGCGCAAAAGCGCGTCTAGATTGGCACGGAGGTTTTTGTGCAAAAGCACCCTTGCCAATCTAGACGCTCTTTTGCGGAAATACTTTTAACGGAAAAACTTTTCTGTTAAAAGTATTTCTGCAAAATCCTGCCAGTCTAGACGCAGCCCAGGTGTGTCTGTCATTCTTCTTAGAGGCCAGATGTGGCCCCTAGGTTGCCTGGATCTGGCCACCAAAGCTTAGGGTCTGTCCAAGCATTGGGAAGCCTGCTCTAGCACTCCAGCCTCCACATCTCCCCGCAGCCCCCGATCCCCAGCTGGTCTGGGCATTTCATCATTTTCATTTCTCTCTAATGCTTAAGTGTAATTCTCTGAGCAGTGAGTTCTAAAACGCCCAGCCTGGCGTGGCTGGAGTCATTCTCCCCGTGGGAACTGCTGCTCCTGGAGGTGGCTGGCATGTCCCTGAGGCCCCCGAGAGAGGCAGAGCAGGGGGTCTCCACATGCCGCCCTTGCCTGCAGACACCGCTCCTGCAGCTCCCCTGGATCAGTGATGGGGAACCGCAGTAGGAGCTGTGGGCTCAGTGCCCGTAGATGGGGGGCAGCACATGGTGCCATGGAGCCATTGCCGTCCATGCCAGCTGCTTTCAGGGGCGGTGCAGGGCCAGGGCAGGAGAAAACCTGCCTCAACCCCACTGTTTCGTCCCTGCACCCCAACCCCCTACCCCAGCCTGGTGAAAGTGAGTGAGGTCCGGGGCGAGGGGGATGGAGTGAGCAGGGGAGGCCTTGGCGAGGGGCAGGGAGCTGGGCGAGGGTCCGTGGGCTGGCGGTAGATCTGACATTGCACTTACATCGGAACAGTGATCTAGTGGCTGAAAAGGCCGGTGCCCCCTGCTCTAGCCGGTCCTGCGCTCTGTGTGTAGCTGAAACGTGCAGGGCGTTTACACCCCGTCAGCTGCTGCCTTCCTCTCTCATCCACTGGCCTCCCCCAGGGCAGGAACCCCCAAAAGCACGGGCACCCCCTGGCTTTCACCCTCCCGTAGCCTCCAGGGCACACCCCGGGCAGTGAGCCCTGCAAGGAAGGCAGCTGAGCGCTGAGGCTGCTGCTTGTCAGGCCGACTGGCTGTGTGTGCTGGTGCCTGTCTGCCTGCCTGCTGCCTCTTGTCTGGTCAGTGGGCTGCCCTCTCCTTGGGCGGGGCGTTCTGTTCTGGCTGCTCGGCCCGTGCCTGGGCTCCCAGGTGCTCTCCTGACGCCAGGGTGGCGGGATGTGCTGTGTTGTCAATGCCTCTCTCATGCTTCTCTCAGGAGAAACCCGTCCTTGGGGTCTGCGAACCGAGGCTACAGCCGTTTCCCTCCCTCCCGGCTGGACCGACGGGCTCAAGCACTGCGGGTTTCCCTTCCCCTTGGTAAGGGCTGGCAGGCCATTGGAAATGCTTTCCGTAAAGGCCGGTAGTGGGAAGGCGCTCAGAGCGTTGCAGGAGGACTCCAGGGCAACGTTCTCCAGCCTCAGGGGCCCCCACCCCATCTCGCGTAACGACAAACGAAAGAAGCAGCAGGCCGCTCGGGGCCAGCCCTGGTTGAGCCAACATGCTAACAGAGATGTCCCACTGGTGCCGGTGCAGGGAGGGGGTAGCTGCCCTGACAACATGCCCAGGTTGGTAGATACCAGTGTTCTCTCTTAATTTTTCCATCCACGTGTGGAATAAATTTTGCGGAGTGCACCAAGGCATGTGCTGCTGTGCACCACCAATAGAAACACATTCTGCTGGCTGTGGCCAGCTGTGGGCGCTCTGCTAAACAGGGGGTAGCACCTAAATCACTCCTGGATGGCCACCCAAGTGCTCAGTTTCCGGGGAACGCTGGCACCTCTTTCATCCCACGTGAAGGCCTGGCCGGCTCTTTGAGCCCCATGAGTGAATTATGTGGGGAGTATTGCAACGTGCCTTTCCAGAGCTGCAAACCGAAGCTGCAGCCGCTGGCTGGGGGGGACCCCGCGTGCCCAGAACGGGCCCTGCACACAGAGCAAGCGCAGACGCCACCGTTAACGTTTGTGTTTTCCAAAAGGGCACCGGAGCAGCTGCCCTCTCACGTGCGCCCCTGCTGCTGGCCCCGGGAGCGGACTTCCACGCCCCAGTCCTGCACACAAAAGCCCCGCTCCTAGCCCAGGGTCCGGTCCCACCCACCCTCTCTGCTTCCACCCTCCAGGTCCGAGCAGTGTCCAACCAGATCATTCGCTTCCCCACGGAGCAGCTCATCACGGACCAGCAGCGGTCGCTCATGTTCATGCAGTGGGGCCAGTTCATTGACCACGACATGGACTTCGGGCCCGAGACTCCGGCCACAGTGACCTTCAGCGGCGCCGTGGACTGCGAGACCAGCTGTGCCAAAGAGCCCCGGCGGGATTTCCCCACAGGGAGCTGGCGAGGGAGGGTCCCCCAGGGACGGGGCTGCCTGAGTCTCCCCCTGGCCTTATCGGGGCAGGTCTCTCCCAGCCCGGGTCTATGCTAGGACCTCGCTCGAAATAACGCCCCACCCCCGCCCAAGTTTGAATGTCCGAGTGGTGCATCCTCACTGCCAGGCCCATTCTTCTGAAACCCTGGGCTGCCGAATTTGACCTCCCAGCCAGTGGGGAAACCTCCACCAGTTCTCAAGGGTCAATGGGCTCAACTTGTGGGGAGGGGTCTGGGTTGGACATTAGGAAAACGGATTTCCCATGGTGGGTGGGGAGGGGGTGGAGTCTCCATCCCTAGGGGTGTGTAAGTCTCTGCTTGACACGGCCCTGGGTGCGGGGGTTGAGTTGGGTTGGTCCTGCCGTGGGCAGGGGGCTGGATGCGAGGCCTCCTGGGGGCTCTGCCCGTCCGGGGGGTCTAGGATTCTAACCAGTCAGCTTAGCTCCGTCCAAACACCGGAAAGTGACGATCCAGGGGATCTCAAATCCTTCCACCATGGGGCGGGAACACTTATCTCTGCCCCCGCGCTCTTTTACTTGGATCTGGGGGCATCACCCCATGCCTAGGGAGTCAGGCTACACCTACACTGCAGGCATCTGGCTGCAGAGGCAATGCAAATGAAGCGCTCATTAGCATTTCTCACACTCTCATTTGCATAGTCTCTTCTGATCCGTTTTGCGGAAAAACCTGGCAGTGTAGACGGGGCCATTTTGCACAGAAAACCCTTGTGCGCAATAACCTTAGTCCTCAAAAAAGCCGGTGCACGGATCTTGCACAAAAGGGGGTTTTGCCCCGTCTACACTGCCAGGTTTTTCCGCAAAACGGATCAGAAGAGACTATGCAAATGAGAGCGCAAGAAATGCTAATAAGCACTTCATTTGCATTGCCTCTGCCGACAGATTCCTGCAGGGTAGACACAGCCTGGGCATCAGGCTCTGGAGACCTTCCGGCGGGTCAGTCCCACAATAAGGAAACCCCCTTTCCGACGCCCCCATCCCGTCCTGCCGAGACGGAGGCAGTGGGCGCCCTTGGCCCGCGCAGACCATGATGCTGGATGGAGGCTCCCTGCTTGGCTGGGAGGCAGGAGCAGCGGCCAGGAAGCCATTTCCCGCTCTGCCCCCGCCTGTCTTAGCCAGTCTGGATTAGCAAAGCAGCCCCGGTGGAGCCGCATCTCAAAGCCACCAAGCCACGGAGCCTGCTCCAGCATGCGGCAGGGCAGGAAATGCTGCTCGGCGGGGGGCGACTGGCTTCCGCCCCCTGGGCTGGTAATGCTCCCCCTCCTCTCTTGCTGCAGATTCCCCCCAATGATCCCCGAATAAAAAACCAAAGCGACTGCATCCCATTCACCCGCTCCGCCCCGGCGTGCACCCAAGGGAGAGCGATTCGGAACCAGATCAACGCGCTCACCGCCTTCCTGGACGGCAGCATGGTGTACGGCAGCGAAGTACCCTTGGCCGGGGCTTGATGGCGGTTAACGAGCAATTCACCGATGGCGGGTTGGCCTTGCTGCCCTTTGGGAACATGGACAAAGACCCCTGCCTTCTCACCAACCCCATGGCGCAAATCCGATGTTTCCTTGCGGGTAAGGCGTGCGCCTGCAGCCCCTCCCGTTCTCTGCTCAGGAGACCCCAGGACCTTCTATTTTATTTTGTGAGTTGTGAAAAAATTCCCAACACCTCAGCCAGTGGGAAAAGGGGCAGAGCAGAAATCCACAAAGGTCATTTCAGATTGCCCTAGACAAGGCTCTAGAACAGCCACGGGCAACCAAGTGGGCTGCATGAATGGCCCTCCCTAGTCTCCGTGGGCTGCAGTGGTGGGCAGCCTGTGGCCCACACCCCCATATCTGCCCCCAGCCCCCACGTGCCTCTTACGCACTGGGCCCCTGCACTTCCTGCTCCTCCCACTCCCTCCCAGCACTTTCAGAGCATCATGAATCCCCTGGTTCGTGATCCATCCCAGCTCCCCTCCCTCCCTCCCAGAGCTTGAGCAGCTGTGAACAGCTGGCCCCAGCTGGCCACTTTCTTCCTGGGGCAGCTGCTGCCCTGTGATTCCTCTGCAGTATAATTGTCCCCCATGCTTGCTGCCCCCAGTGGTCATTGTGGAGCATAACTGTCCCTTCTCTCAGCCCCCTCCCTTTTCATGTTATAGAACACAATCCCACTCCAGGCACATCCCATTGCCCTGGCACAACCAAAAGCTGACCTCACCTTAAGTTAGGATAAAAGGAAGCTGCATATCGAATGTGGCGGTCCTAGCTCTTACCGTGCAGGAGTCACAGACAGAGGGATGGACTCATGGACAGAGAGACAGACACACAGACTGTCTAAAATAGATAAATTGATAGATGTACTAGCTTGGCTGCTAAAGTCTGTCAGTAGGGATATAATATATGTAGCCCTCAGTGGAGGCATTTGACTTGGTGCCCAGTTTTGATGAAAAAACGAGGCTGATGACACAATGTACCATTAACAGGGCGGGTCTCAGGCGTCATGATGAAGGAGGAAAGCACGCTGAGTGGGCGTTGCTAGGAGGGTTCTGCAGAGTCCCGTTCTCAGACCCACAGGCTCTCCCGTTGGATCTGTGAGCGGGAAGGAAACACGAAATCCTCCTGGATAAAGCTGGCCGATGACCCAAACCTGGGGTGGTGCTGAATACCGGGGTAGGGGGCGCTGACACAGAGCAAGCCGGTTTGCTCGGCAGGCTGGGCCCTAGCTCACAAGCTGCAGCTTAAGGTGGCCAAATATAAAGTTCCAGGTCAAGGAACAAAGACTCAGCCCGGCACAAGCCGGGGCGGATCTGTGCTGGGAAGCCGTCCCGCTGCAAAGGGCTTGGGCTGCCCGTGGGCTGAAAGGAGGGGAGCGCCCCAGGAGCAGGGCTGGCAGAGGGGAGTGCTCTGGGCAATAGGCTGTGAGCAGCACTAACCACCGCCCCGCCAGGCCAGCACGCTCCGTTAGCTCCACTCAGCGCACAGATCTGGCCTGGAGATTTGTGACTTTATGAATTTACCCCTTTGCTCTGCCACTGGCTGTGGAGGCCAGAAAACCGCCTTGTGCAAGAAACAAGCCGAGCCCAGAAAGGGTGCAGGCGGCAGGGCGGGGCAGAGAGCTGGGGCGCTGGGTCCGGGGAGGGGGAGTGGGGGGCGGAGGGGGAGGATCCGGGAGGGCCACACAGACGAGGCTGGGGGGGACACAGACGGTTTTCACTTCCCCAGGCGACTCGCGAGCCAACGAGATGCCGGAGCTGACGTCGATGCACACGCTCTTTGTGCGGGAGCACAACCGCCTGGCCACCGAGCTGAGGAGACTGAATCCGCGGTGGGATGGGGAGACGCTCTACCAGGAGGCCCGGAAGATCATAGGTGCCATGATTCAGGTACAAGCTGTCGTGGCCAACTGCCCGGGGCCAGGCTGCCGGGGCCGTGACCTCTCAGGCAAAGCATGGCCAGGCTCCATCAGCACTCGCCCACGGACCGGCCGGGCAGGTGGGCTCCTGCAAGGGGATCGGGGAGACGGTGCGCTCCTGGGCAGGCAGTTGTGCATGCGTGGCAGCGGGGCTGGGGCTGGCCGCGGGAGAGGCGGTGGCTCGTCCGGTCACTAGTTAGCGCTGGGCCGTGTTCGGCAGGGAGCAGGCACTGGGCCTGGCCAATGCCAGCGGGGTGATGACCCCTGACTCCCACTCGTGGCGCTAGTAGCTGTGGAGAAGCTGCACGCTCCGTGCAGGAGCTGTCGGCATTTCTGTGGTGGCCGAGTGGCGACGTGTCTCGGGCTGGCGGGCGTCACAGGCAGGAGGCTCCCGCAGTAGCTGAGGTTCCTCTTTGGCACCCTCTGGCCAGCTGCTCATGACTTTGGAAAATGTCCTTTGGCTGCCTGGGGCCAGCCCCGGCATCACCCTGTCTGGCGGCTGCAGCCCAATGGCCGTGGGCGAGCGGAGAGTCTTGCCCAGCTTCTCAGATTCCCCGCCCCTGAGGAATGCGGGGACGAAGAAAGTCGGAGGGAAAACGAGCCCAAGCATGTGGCAGGTTTCAGACCCCAGAGCCTGGCGGCCATTGGACATTGCACCGCGACTGGACCGTGCTGTCAGGCCCGGGCTGCCCCGGGGTAGTTCGCCCTGGGGCTCAGAGCTACCCCCGGGGTGCCTGGTGTAACGGAAGGGAAAGGTCCTACAGCCCTCAGCAGCACACAGCCCGCTCCTCTGCTCTTCAGACCAGCCTCGAGCCAGAAGATGGGGGCTGGCAGAGCCCTCAGGAGCCATCACATCCAGCCCCCTGCCCAAAGCACGACCCGCCCAACTCAACCCCCCCAGCCAGGGCTGGCCCAAGCCGGGACTTAGGGCTGGAGAGTCCAGCAGCAGGTAGGAGTGGCTCAGTCTCCCCTCATTTCCCCCAGGTAATAACCTTCCGAGACTATTTGCCCAGCCTGCTTGGAAATCGAGTCTGGTCAGCGATTCCTCCCTACCGCGCCTACAACGACTCGGTGGACCCCCGAATATCCAGCATCTTCACCATCGCGTTCCGCTTCGCTCACGCCTCGATCCAGCCCTTCGTATTCCGCCTGGACCAGCGCTATCAGCCTACCGGCCCCCCCAGCCTGCTCAGCAAAGAATTCTTTGCTATGTGGAAAATTGTGAGACAAGGTAAAACCCTTCTTGCTGCCCCACACTGGCCCTGGTCAGACCCTTCCTGCCAGCCACTCGGGCCAGACTCTGCCACAGGCGGCGTCAGAATGAGGGTCAGTCTCAAAAGCAGCCAGCGGATCTTACCAGGCCCCTGTGGCCAAAGCGGCCAATAGTGGCTTCTTGTGAACTCGGACTTGGTGTAGAGCTTAAAACGCCCCTCTGCCCCCTGCCCCCATGGGCCAGCTTGTTAGGGAAACCTTTCCTCAGGAGCCTCCCTCTGCCCACATGGGCTGGTGCCTACCTCGGGCTTTGTGGCTCCCCTGAGTTTCTGGGCACTGGCCACTCACCTTTTTGGGATGGGAGGCTCAGAGACCTGCCCAAGGCTCCTAGGAAGTCAGCGATGGTGGAGGGAATTCAACCCAGGCCCCAGGTCAGCACGTTAGCTGCTGGACTGGCCTTCACCAAAGGAGCTCTTGCCAAGACGTCAGGAAATACAAAGCTTAGGTTCCTGGGTCACCTACTGCCCCCCTAGCTGCATGAAGCAAAGCTCAGCTCAGCACAGCGGGGCCTCTGTTTGCAGAGGGAGCTGGGTGGGAAGGCTGCTCACGAGGGTCTGTTTAATGACTGCAGGTGGCATCGACCCTGTTCTCCGTGGCTTGCTGGCTAGGCCGGCCAAACTGATGACCCAGAAGCAAATGGTGGTGGATGAACTCCGGGAGCATCTGTTTGAGCAGGTCAGGCGGATCGGACTGGATTTACCGGCACTGAACATGCAGCGCGGCAGGGATAAAGGTCTCCCAGGTGAGGGTCCCCACTGCTCCAGAGGAAAGGGAAAAGCCCTCAGGGCTGAATGTAAATGGCTGCGGGTTCTGGACACGCAGGGGGAGAACCAGACCGTCCCAGCATGGGATCCAGAGAAATGGAGATGGCCGTAAGCCGCCCCACCCCCTTGGCAAAACAACCTGACACGGAGAGGAAATATTCAGAACTCAGGGATCTTGTCTGGGTCCGGTCTGCTTTACTGCACCCAGGATGCCTTAGGGTCGGAGCACCAGCCACTAAGGCCAGGTCTATACAGAGCCGGGAGGTCGGCGTGAGGTGCACAGCTCCAGCAAGGTAAATAACACAGCTGGAGTTGGCACACCTTAAGCCAAGTGCGGTGCTCTCTTCCAGGGCTACCGAGGCCAGCAGGGCGCCCTCAGCATTCAGTGTAGGGGGTCGCCGTAGAAAAGAGCAGCAAGTCACTAGCCCAGAGGGGAGGGGCCTGGCGCCCGGCGGTACTGACCGCGCTGCCCTGGCTCTGCAGGGTACAACGCCTGGAGACAGTTCTGTGGGCTCTCGAAGCCGCGCAACGTCGTTGAACTTTCTGCGGTGCTGAGTAATTCCGAGCTGGCCAGAAAGTTCACAGACCTGTACGGGACGCCGGAAAATATCGACATCTGGATCGGGGCGCTGGCGGAGCCGTTCGTGCCCAATGGCAGAGTGGGGCCCACCATGGCTTGTATCATTGGATCTCAGTTCCGGAAATTACGAGATGGGGACAGGTAAGAGCCCATCAAGGAGAGGAATCCGAGTGAGCACGCGTGGGCGGCAATTTGTCTGGAGGAGCTGAATGTGAGCGCCCAGCTGCCCAGCTTCCCAGCTTCCATTCCTTCACTTGGCCGGCGTTTCGGAAAGCCTCCGGGGCATGGCCATTTTGGTATTGATCATAAAGTCTTACACTGCTCGTTCAGGCCTGATAGATTGGTTGGCGCTATTTTCACAGAGGCCTTGATTAGTTGGCAGACACCCGAACGCATTTTGTCAAGTTGTAAGTTTACACACACACACACACACACACACACACACACACACACACACACACTTGGGTTCCCCACACGCTTGAGTTGCCCTGCCAGTGCTGTGGCGGGAAGGACACTGCCAGACCCCCACGAGGCAGACAAGGGACAGGATGGAAACGGGGGAGAGCCGGGGCTTCTCTCCCTCCTTTTGGGCTGTGGGTTAGTTACCGTTCTCTGCTTTGGCTGGCACGTTAACCGCAACACCTGCTCCACAGACCTCGCTTCGTGTGCTCAGGTGGTGGGAAAGGGGGATCCTCGCTCAGCGCTGGCCACTGGCTCTGAAGCCCCGTTCGTGCCAAACCTCCCCCAGAGCGAGGTGTCTTTGGGCTCGGCGGCTGGGGCTCGCCAGGGACATCCTTGGGGTAAAGCCTGGTGCTACTCTTTCGGCAGATTCTGGTGGGAGAACCCCGGGATTTTCACTGCCCAACAGCGAAGGGCCCTGAGAAGGATCAACTTGCCACGGATAATCTGTGAAAACACCCACATTACTCAGGTTCCTAGGAACCCCTTCCAGGCCAACAAATACCCCGGAGACTTTGTGAACTGCAACCAGGTGCAGAAGCTGGACCTCTCGGCGTGGAGAGCAATGGTGGAGGAGCAAGGTACAGAGCGAATCGGCCGGTTTGCATGCGCTCTCCTTGGCGCGGGAGCTCCCCATTCAAAGGAAGATGTGCCCAGGCCGCAGCCGTTAGGGCCTAGAGATATACATGCAGGCGGATCCTCAGCAGGGGCCCAGGGATGCCGGGTGGGGCCCAGTGGGACTTGCAAACGCACCCACCCAGCCGGAGCTGCTTGAACTCCCTGGGAAAGTGAGGCAAGCCGGGCATCGAACTCGCTGGAGTGTCTGAGAATTCCACTGAGGCGGTGCTCCGTGCGGAGGTGCCCAAGTAGCTGTGTCGGCCTGGCCCGGGCCCAGACCCTGGCCTGTCGGGGCCTAGCGCAGGTTCCAGGCCCGAGCTACATTGCAGAGAATTGGAAGTTAACTTAGGAACGACTGTTTAGCTCATGATGTGATTATAGCCCAGGCCAGGTCCCCGTTTCTAGGGGACCCGTTGTGGCCAATTGTCACCCCTGTCCGGTAAAGGGGCGCGTGCCGGTTCTGTCGGCCACATGCCGGGGAGCGAGACACTCGGCACACGCCGTGTCCAGAGCTCCCCTTGGCAGATCTCTGGGAATGACAAGGGACCCTTTGGCAAGGTCCTCGGGTCGCCCTGGGGCTCCTGGGCCCACTCGAAGGGAGTCCTGGTTGGCTGCACTGAAGTAGGTTGAGTGGTCACGGCAAACCCCACCACAGAGCCCCTGTCGGCCACATGCCGGGGAGCGAGACACTCGGCACACGCCGTGTCCAGAGCTCCCCTTGGCAGATCTCTGGGAATGACAAGGGACCCTTTGGCAAGGTCCTCGGGTCGCCCTGGGGCTCCTGGGCCCACTCGAAGGGAGTCCTGGTTGGCTGCACTGAAGTAGGTTGAGTGGTCACGGCAAACCCCACCACAGAGCCCTGGCGTCAAGTGGCAGGGCTGTCGGGGGTCTGCAGGGCCGCCCGCCGCTTTTTTTG